CATTGCTTCTAGATGAGATGATATTACTGTATAAGTTAGGCTTACCTAATACCAGCGCTACTTGTCACATGTGTGGATATCACGTGATATGTCACGTGACTAGACTTGGACCTTCGGGGCGCCTAGGACTGTTAGTACTTCACGTACTGGTTCGTTCCTTTCTGGACAGCCTAGCGCTGATGTCATGTGATGTCCTAGTCACGTGCAGAGTGAAGAACGTGAAAATCTGTGACAGTACTCAATGCTACTGGCCATATGGGGGAAGAAGCATTTAGGTAAGGATTGTGAATAACAGAAAGCTTACCGATTGAGCTCATTTTCAATCAGTCAAGATTTTAAAATTTCTGAGCATAGCAAATCAAATATCATGAGCATAATATGATAATATAGCTATTGGACTGCTGAAAGCAGTGGCATGACTACATAATCTACAGTCATGCTACCATAACTTTCTCTAGCTGGATGATGACTTACTTTAACAACTGGAGTACATGAATATGTCAGTGATATGTGATCATATTTAGAGAACCTAACAGCTTGTACATTTGAACAACTGGTTAAGTGTCACATGTACAAGCCCCACTTTCGGTCTCATCAGCAAAAAAAGCAGAACATCTATGTATCTAGGCAGGTGAAATTGAAAATATATATAAGTGCTTATAACCTAGGCTGAAATGGCCAGATAGCACCTGATAATGCTTAATAAGGTAACACCAGTCTGATATGACTGGGCAAGTAGTTGAAAGATCAGAGGATGTTTGTTGTTCAAGCCAAGTTGTGATGATCAGGTCAAAGAACTGAACATCTTACTGGATGGCATTATCAGAGTTAAGGTAGACAGATCAGTGTTTAGCTAACTGCTTCAGTTCATATAAATGACTTAGGATAAACTAAAGAGGAATTACACTTAACAGAAAGAATGTATGAGAAATAAATGCCAAGTCATGAGCCCAACATGATAAAATTGATAAAGCTCAGCATGCAAATCTTAGAGCTCAAGCACTTCAAAAGGTCATGTAAATGGTACATCATACTAGTATGTAGTAGATAATTTGTGCAAATTCATGTACACAATTGGTGAGGCAAAATCACAGATGGTAAAAATATCAAAGAAAAAGTTCACATCTTTTACGCATCTTCACTGTCAATTTGTGATAAAAGTATTTAAAATATTTTTAACATCTTTTGTTGTGAAAGATGATGAAAACACTGAAAGGAGATTGCATGAAATATTAATAATGATTTCTTCAATCATTTTACAATCTTTCATACAAAGCTATGATAAAAAGTTTTAAAATCTTTTTTCACTCTTTTTTAATCAAAGATAATGGAAATATTGTGACTATGTCACACTCTTGTTTTCATATACTAAGCTAGTACTAAGCTATACTAGTACTATAGTCAGAAAAGTAATATTAAGATTGTAATGTTAGCAGTATGCTAATACTAAGATTTAAATGCTAGTACTATGCTAGTACTATGCTAGTATTAAGGTCTGAAGATTAGTACTCAGCTAGTACTAAGGTCTGCAGATTAGTAATAAGGTTTGAAGGTTAGTACTATGCTAGCACTAAGCTAGTGCTAAAGTCCAAATGTTAGTACTATGCTATCACGGAAACGGACCATATTTCCTATGAACCAATACCTAATGGACGAGTAACCACTTCGCCAAAAGGCTGGCAATGATAAGCTTGGCTTATCACTTGGTTCTGACTATATATGCAGTGCAACTGCAGGTTTTACATGTCACGTGTGGTTTATTCTGTGACATTACCCCCTGTTCAAGAATCCTCGTCCCGAGGGTATATAGTACCACCCCAATCCTAGCTTAGACTGGCTAATCCGGCATTATTGGATTGAAAGTCAGGGATTCAAATTTGTGGTTGTGGCGACTCAACCTCTGAGAGATGCTTTTGTGACTAACTTGCATGCACTGGGACATGACTGACTCGCACGATTCGGCATCTTTAGCCTATTCGTGACTAACTTGCACGGCCTTTATAACTGTGTCTAACTTGCACAAAGTATTGCCAGTTCTCAGACTTGAACCGGTGACCCCGTAAAGCTTATCATTTTATCACGGAAACGGACCATATTTCCTATGAACCAATACCTAATGGACGAGTAACCACTTCGCCAAAAGGCTGGCAATGATAAGCTTGGCTTATCACTTGGTTTCGACTATATATGCAGTGCAACTGCAGGTTTTACATGTCACGTGTGGTTTATTCTGTGACAAGTACACCCACCATGTATTACAGTACATCTGTACATCTAAACATTAGGAAGTTGCACTCATCTCTGAATATATCTGATACATATACCACATGTACTTGGTGTGGAAGACAGAACTATGAAAATTTTGTATTTGGTGAGAGAGTCACACAAAAGTATATATGGTTGAGCAGGGTCGTTCTCTTATGTCTGTACAAAATAAGTTTTGAAACATTCAATATGGTTGCAAGAGCACATTTTCTTTAAGACTATGATGCAAAGCTTGGCGTCTCATAAGCACACATGTGAGTGCATATGTGGTAGTAATGAAGTGATCACATTTACAGGAAGGTAAATTTTTCATAGCACTAAATGACGCTACAGATCATGTGATATGTCAGTCTCAAATGATCTGTCGTGTGGCCTACCTGGTGCCACAAGGACAGACAAGGTTTCAATGATTTTTGTTTATAACAATTGATATGTCACCCATGAACGGAGTATGCATGAGGGTGGGTTGATCTAGCAAAAGAGTACATTCTTGCTCCTTGTTGATGGAAATATTGTGAAAGCGGTGTCTGCGCTGAATCTGGGATCAATTGTATTCAAGACAGGCATATTCCACACTCACCCGGTGCCACATATTCACTACGTGATACCACATCAAACGCTAGTGATCGGGTTTGTGCAAGCACAGCTTGTGGGCTCTCCATGGCGAACCTTCCGGCCGTATCCAACCTGTACGCAGTTATCAGATTATAAATATGTAGAACGTGAACGCATATTACATAGGCAGCCTAAGAAGCCTCACACAAAGCCTGTATTGTCCTCGCTGCCTGACGCTGACGTCTGGAAAGAGGAAATATATGCCCTGCTTCCCTTGGAGATTCTGCAGGATATGAGGAGAGGAGACAAGGCTTCCGTACAATCGACTGTGTTGCGAGACAAATTGGCCTCTTGAGTCAGCGTCTCCAGAAATAGGGTCCTCATTGTTGAGCAGAGACAAATGTGCGACAAGGAAGGGAAGGTCCGTTTCGCTTGCATCTTGATCAATAACACGTGGTGAGATATTTGCGAACGTTTGCTCACTCGACACTAGTCCTCTCTGTGTCACCTGTGATCTGCAGTTTGACGATGGGCGGGGGCGCGACAGGAAGTCTGCTGAGGGTCGCATCACCACACTCAGCGACTCTAACGGGATGCTGCACAATTTCCAAAGCATAGGATCTAATCATTCGTCAACTCAACTAAAACAGCTCTGACGGTTGATTTGCTTACCGTGACATTCCAGCGCACGACGAAGGCGATGCTTTCGCCATCGGGGATCTTGAAGCGCAAGGATACACGCGATCTGAATAGCGTCCCGAGCTATTTCGTATAACCAGTGCTGTCTGATGAGCGAGAGTTCCACGGGTGCAAGGTTGTGAATCGCGAGAAGATGGGACCGGATAGTAGCGATGGTCATCGGCAATAGATAGCGGTGAGTTCGCCGCAAGTTGCGAGCTAAAATCATAATTGATTCGTTGCGGATGCGAGGTTATGGAGGCTGGCTTGCGGACTAACGCCGTGTACTCCTGACTAGGTTCTGAACGTCAACTTACTCATTATGGAGAACTGAGCGCACCTCCTGCTTTTGATGACGTTTACAACCTTCGCGTACAGTCGGCCCTTGACTGGGAAGCGCAAAGACGTCTGGCAAGCCTTGCGGCATCAGGCCAGACGCATCCTCGCCTTCGCATACTAGTCGTCCAGTCATTGCGTGGCAGACTTCAAGATTGCGACAGCGACAACGATGTCAATCATTCCTCGAGTCTTGAGTCTTAGGCGGATACGCCGGCCGAGACTTTCGGTACTGGAGGCGTGAGACGGGTCTACAAGACAATAGCGTGTGTGCGCTTGAGGTTTGCGCGTCATAAATACCGTGGAATGGGAAGCGCACGCAATCCTCTTCCCGTAACTTATCAGACATTTCAAAATTTCCTGCGCAAGAGCTGATATGGCTCGAGATGGAACAAAGAAGATAGGAAAAGTTGATTTAACTCACCTTTATCCCAGATGATCGAGGTTGACAATGTGGCTGCCGGCGATGAAACACGACTTTAACTCGAAGGAGACAGAAGGGGCATTAAATCATGGTACCTATTTTACACAAACATATCAGACATTCCGCTTCACCACGCTCCAAAGACCCGCCAGGGAGGAGATGAATGCCGCTGCAGCGAGAGCAGGCTTCACGCCAGCTAGCAAGATTGAGCGCAGCGTTAATTGTCTTGATCTGGTGAAGTTGATAATATATGATACGCACCTGTAGACTTATATAGTGCGCCGGTAAGACCGCCTGCCGCCATACTACCCAACGTGTCATGTTTGCCTCTCGCGCTGTCGATGATAGAATTTATACTGTTATAGACAAGCGCTGATGACTATCGGTCAGAACAATAAGGATGTAGCTCGGCGGAAACTGACCCAACACTCCCGCCGAGTTGCCTATGAAAGTCCCTCTTCGCGTCACGGAGTTCAAAATGCTATTGATTCGCAATCTGGCATTCGACACTGCAAGCGGCCTTTTCGCTCCTTCGCGCAAACCCCACACCCCACCCACGGCGAGACCTGTAAAAGCGGTAATGGTGAGCATGTGATGATGCAAGACAATAAGAGAGACCATCAACGATAAGGTGAGAAGAGCGGATCGACGAATGGGGATCAAATGACGGCCGTATGCTGAGAAGACAACTAAAAAGGCGACATGAAGAACGTATGACATACCACCTAAGTACATGGTTCCGGTACCATAACTCAAATCGTCACTCCAGCCTCTGGAGGGTATTGCGGTGCCAGAACCGGGAAGCTCGCTTGTTTTGTCATCTTCCAGCAAGAGATAATCCAACTTATCCTCTATTCCGGCCAATGGATGCAGTTTGGTAGGATCGAAAGCACCGAGAAGGAGATCAGAAGCGGTTACGGCACTGTCGGGAGGTGCCGGCGAGCCCTCACTCCGAGTGAAGGTAGCATTCCGGAGTGTTTCGGTAGGATCCCCCACCGAGCTGCTAGAGGAGTCCATAGTGTGGGCGAGCACGGATACAGTGTCGTTTGGATGAGCCAGTGGCCGTGAAACAACTTCTGCCACAAACTTTTGGTCACATGGTCGAACTGATCGCATCTACGATCCTGTGTTCACAGTGGCGCAGAGTTCGTTCCACCATGCCATCGTCGACAAACTTCCATATTCCATTTTGCTTTCCTGTCTATGGGCTCTGCTAGATTGCTACTTAGAAGCTGTTTATTCCTTTTCATTCCTTTTCGATGAATCGTTATTCGCTAGAAACAACGACAGCTGAGTCGTTGAGAACGTTCCCATCTCATCGGTTCTAATTCCTCGTCAGTAAACCTATTCTAACACTTCATCGCAGCAGAGATGAGGTTCTGGCAGCCCAGTTATAGGATTTTTCTCACAAGTTGCTAGCAGAGGATTGCTGGCGAACTCCGCTTTGCGCCTATGTTCACTAGCGACATAGAGTAAAACGCGCCGTTGAGCTTTCTCCGTCAATCTGCCGCTCTTGGTGTGTTGTTATTCTGGGCATTCTGAATTGCGTCCTTCTCTTCTAAGAACTACATTAGGATTAGCGACTGTGCAGGCGAGACTCTGTGATGTTCGAACCGCATATTCCTCGAGTTCGAGCAACACCACCAAGGCTAATATTCTAGGTGTTTCTGATTGCGCCTACCATTAAGCTGCGTATCTTTTACTGTACAGCCCGACCGTCGAGTCGGGAAGCAGAATGTGGACATGCCGGTGACATTCTCGTCATTCCACCAACATAACATCGCCGGACCCTGGTTCGTTCCAGGAGGGAGGACACCATTCTCGGGCATCATCGCTTTCCAACGCACGTTCATCCAGTACATGCGCGGCCTGCTCACATGAGGCAACCAGCTCGCCCCACATCTATCGCACCATATGCCTCCCTTTCCTCCCTGCGGATCCTCAGGACTGCCCTTTTCAGCGTGCATGGAGGTTGGCTGTCCGTGGCCTTGAACATGTGCCAGCAATGCTGCATACCGACGAGAGCTGGAACGCCTTGACGCTGCCACGTTGTTCTATCATGCTAGGCTCCTCGACGATCGCATTAATAAAGCAGTTGCTACCGCGAGTTATTTTCTCTTTCGAGACCCGACTGGCTGCTTCTTGTATGTACGAATACGTGGACAGAGTGTCGATTTTTCTTCCTGAATGCAGGCACTTAATACAGTGCCGTTGTCCCCCTCAAACAGAAGATGCACATTCCTCCATGATGCATGACTGGCTGCTTCTTCCGAATACTGACTGGCATATATTGAGAATTCGTATGCTCCGGCTCTCGAAACTAACATGCTTCACTCTCGTGGCGAGTTGCCGCATGTTTGCCCGTCGCCATATGGCGCCTGGATGTACGCAGGATTAATATATTGGTCATTCAATATGTATGATGTCGAGGGGACAAACTTCGTGCTGCGTACATTCCTAACGTTAAACCCTTGCTTCAGCACAGCCCTCCAGCCATCTCGCATCCATGTATCCCAACGCTGAGCAAACGTACGTGGCTCTAATGTACAGAGCCTCGAGCTATTATGCCACTTGGGATCCGATAAGGCCCATAACCGTACGTCTGACGCATCTCCTCTGCCATCAGTGGTACTGAAATGCAACACTCTCGCCATTTCTCCTTTCGTGCACCACACACAGCTTGGAGATTATGGTTACATACGAAACAACTACTCCTTCGAGAAGGAGGGGAACATATTCAATGACAGGCTCGCTGAGGAATTCGATATCAGTATTGTTGATGGAGGGGAGGACAGCGAACGATGGATCGTGTCAGTGGCAACCAAGGAGCAGACGCTGAGTGTCAATATGTAAGGATAGGCTTCTCGTACTGAATGAAGAGATTATTCACCTGGTGAGTCCGTCTGCAGCGGCGTACCGAAGGCGACAATCAAGAAATCGTTCTCAATCACTAGGAGCTGCGGCGCGATTTTGGCTATGTTACGACCGCGCCACCAGAGCCTGACAGGACCGCTCAGAGACCTCATATATTCTACTGCCTTCACCGACGAACGGGTCCTTGTCTCGGAGGTCTACAGTTGTTCATCCTATGCTCGGCTCCTCGTTCCGCGCCAAAAGGGTTCCGTGGAGATCAGCCTGGATATCACGGAGTCACAGGCTCATATCCTCCATGGCACGGTTGAGGGTAAATGGCGTACAAGTGCTGAAAGTGGCGACTTCAAGTTCCTACACGAGCGCGAACAAGCAGATTACAAGGCGCGGCCGCTCGTTAGGCTCCTCGGCCGCTCCCGTGGCAGATGGGGCAAGAAGAGGCCAGTGGAGACACTACCACCGCCTGCATGGAGGCGTATCGCCATGCGGCATGTCCGTGGATGTGGTTTGGATGAGGGCTTCGATGGAGAAGAGAGTGATTATGATGATGTTATGCTGTAGCCGCTATCCTGAAACTCGTATAGCATACCCATATGTCTTGATCACTGTATACCTATGTTGCATGTTTACGCCGACAGGTTTAAAGCCAAGGCGTGGCCCGGTCTCATTCAATATATGTAATAGTACTTAGCAGTCTTAGATATACAGCACCGGTTATCGTAGTATGGATTGGCTCCGGTGAGCTAGGGCATTGCGTCTTCAGAGTCACTGCAGCACACGGCTGCATGTGTTGTGAACATGAAATTTAAACTGCGTTGAAGCATAAAGCAAATATAGTCGGCATACTATGCTAGCTCAGCAGCTACGAATAATTTGACAGGCCCTTCGTCTGAAGCTTTGCCAAATGACCCGGCCTAACACATGCTTCCATTCAGCCGAGAATAATGCCACATGGGCGAGTAGCAACTTTTAATGTCCCATTCTATCAAAACGCCAGTCTCGACGAAGGCATGCGAGATTAACGATCTGCTAAGAAGGGGCGAACCGTGAGGTCGTTAATTTTGCCGCGTCGTTTAACGCCCCAGCACTATCAAAGGTATGCGGGAAGTAGATATACGCGGCAGGAAGATGGAGGAATGTCGGTCATGCGTTGCCCGGCCAAAGACATGATACGAATACGCATTCAACAGATGGACGATGAAGAGCAGGACGGAGCAAATGGAAATGAAAATTTGCCGCACACGCTTACGTAAACTAATCCCACAGAAAAGTGGCGGGTGGCCCAGCTGGTTTGAACTGTATGACCGACACCATGTTGCCCACGTCATAAAACGGGTACGGATGTTACCTCAATCATCGGAGGAGGCAATAGGTTCTTCTCGCGGACGTCCTTCCGGACTCGCCACTTTCAATAGTCTATGCTGGTAATTCTCCCACGCCGCGATTAGCTGCGAGGATTGAGATGAATGGTAACCTCACGACAATGGGGAAACCACCCTCACCTGCTTTTGCCTCGAGATCATTCCCTCTAAGAATGCCTCAAGAGAACTCTTGAAGTCTTCTATTCGTTCATACTCGAAGCGCGCGACTTCTGCCTTGACCAACCTAGACACCTGATCGAAATCCTGCTTCGCGTCCATAGCACGCCTTTCCGCCTGGCGAGAAAACCAATAGCGAGACCATCAGTATCTCGCGAAGGCAGTTTTAACTGCGGTATGCTCACGTCAGCAACTAGAGATAACGATCGGCTCAGTTGGTCTGAGGGCAGCTTGCCCTGGGCACGATTTGTCTCATGAGTCTGCTTTACGCGCTTGAGATAACCGTCCGTCGACTGCCATGTATGATACGTGCGGATGCGGGAGTTGAACGCGTTCTATTAGAAATCTATTATTCACTTCCGCCGACTGCTGTATTCTCTGATCAGCTTACCCGCACTGAGTTGATAAGCCGAGCATATTCATCCACTGGCACGAAGTTTCTAGTCATAAGCCAATGTCAAAATGCTGACAACGTACCTGTCGCCATGATGGTCACTACATCCTCTTGTGATTGTGTGCTGTGTGATTCCTGCGCTTTCTGCTCCACTTCTGCCAACCCCGCGAAAGCCGACGAGAGCTGTGGGCCGACATCAGAGGCCGACAATTCTGATATCGCTTGCGCGAACTCTCTCGTAGCTGCTGACAGCTCTGTTTTGCAATACGAATATATAAGAAATGCGGATCGGTCAATGGGCAATACAGTCACGGAAAGAGCTGCCAGCGAACCTGACCGATGCTTTGCGACAAGATCGATGGCTTTGACAAGCCCTTTGAGTTGCAATTCTAAACTGTCGAGATATGCCTTTTGTTTATCAAACCACTGCAAGGAAGCTGAAGGAGCCATTCAGAATTACGTCGATGAAGAAGAGTCACCTCGTCAGTTTCATGGAACCTGGGGCCAGCGAGCGACTGCCCAATGCTCGCCATCAAGCCGCCCTTCTCCTGCGCGAGTTCCGCTTTACGTTGTTTGATCTATAATGTCGGATGACACATTAATGCCACACGTTTAGCTTCGTGATGTGGTGGCAACTTACATCCAAAGCAAACGTATCGCTCTCAAGGAACATCTTCAGATCCGGATCCCTCTGCAGGATGGGATGGCTTGCGATCTTCTGGATACACTTCTCGAGTGCGAAACGCCGCTGTTGTACGAAGTTTTCGTCAAACCTCCGATAAGGATTCTTCTCAGGAACTGGAGGCACGACTACGCCGGGATTGTTCAGCGAAAGAGTCTCGTACAACCATAGGAAGTCGGAATAACGACGAAGGACGGAGAACGAAGACTTCTTGAACATCGGGGATGTCGTCTGTGAATGGCTGAGTGCACTGATCAATCCAAGACAATTGAACACTTAACCTTGGTATGTACCGTATACATGGTGTATGGTCTAATGGGATCGCCTACCTTCTGGGGGTCGTCGACGGTTATGGCGAACACCGCTTGTAAGCCCGTGTCGATCATGGTCGTTGAGGAGGGCCCGGTCTGAAAGTCCCGATTGTACAATTAGCATTTGTCAATATAGCGTTGCAACCACGTACACCTTGAAAAGAAGGCACTCGACTTGAGGACAGTTTCGCGGACTGCAGTATCGGTCGATCATCGTCAGAGGAGTCAGAGTCGTCTCTGTTACGAGCCGAGCTTGACGGACGACGAGAAGGGCCGAATGGGCTTCCCGGCCAACCGTTAAAACTCTCCCTGCCGATGGCGAGCCCTGCAAAGGATCCCTCTAACCCTCCAGGCATCGAAGAGCCGAGTGGATTGTTGTATACTGGTTGTGGATGAATTATGGGCTGTGGTGCAGCAGCGTTTGAGCTAGACGGCTCGGATTTATGCCTGTGGAATGTACTGTAGGTAGGTGGAGCAGTCGCGAGTGGGGCAGGAGAGGCGGGTATCTCTTGGGAAAGAAGCAATGGTGGGGGAGAAGGACTCCGAGGAGGCTGCGACTCTTCATGCTGTGGTGCATTCTCAAAACCATCGGGAATGCTCTCGTGGAAACCAGGCGAAGCGAGGGTTCCTGGCGTCTGGGGCTCTCCTTGCGATTCCTCAGGAGATGCAGCGTGTTCATCGTCGTGCAGCCTGTCGTGTGTAGGAATAGTGTAATGGAACCCATCGGCGTCGCCAAAGCTGGCGGTGTCGGTCCCATGGACAGCGCCGCTGGCGATAAAGCGGGCATCATGCTCGTCGGCGAGCACGGTGGATGACTCGCCGAAGCTGGCCCACGGATCTGGCGAACTTGACCGAGCCTTGACAAAAGGGTCCTCGAATGGATTCTTCATCACGTCCTGGGACTTGAGGAGCTCTGCGAATTCATCCATGTCTGATTCGTGTTGGCGAGCTTGATGACAGCTGTGTAGTCCGTTTCGTCGTCAGAGCCAACTTTAACAAACCTGCAGGATCTGTCGTGAAGCTCGAGGTCGCCGCAGACAGATAGCAGACCTACAGGAATACGCGCCAGATGTCTCGAGTTGTTCACTTCACGACAAGTCCACTGCGCTTGCAGTCGCGCACCTATATCTCACGTGATGAGATGCACGTTCCCGCGATTTGATGGCATCGCGGCGGGGCGGGTGAGTCGCGGAACCATGCGACCGCATCCTCAGTCGGTCTGCAGCAATTTCGGAACCCAAGTTTCAAATTTCAGTAAGTACATGTATTCGACGGTAGCGTGAGACGAGCGGCGAAGTGAAACATGGTGGTGACGCCAGTGCAAGCCACATTTACGCATCCTGGCACAGCATATATAACGGGGTAGTTTTATTTTCATGCGTCCTGACATCACCTACTTCCACGGACTATCCCCCCGATTACGGTGACAGTGCCGACCCACCAAGTCTACCGCAGGAATAAATGCATATGCGTAGTTACGGTACTTGGTTCGTTGCCACTGACGTATTCGTAGCTGTTTCTGCCGACATCGCCATCAAAGCCGCGGCGTTACGATACGGAACGGATGTTAATGAATCACGGATCCTGCCGGCAGTTCATATGATATGGTCCGTAGGGCGCGTCATAGAGTCCGACGCTTAAATCTGTCTTCGCGTTGAGACGAAGACGCTGCCAAGTTGATGAGCGCGCCAAGTCTCGCTCGAGCGTTCACAAAGGCCACATCATTCCGAGGACAATGATTGTCTTTGAAGAAACAATCAAATCGGCTGGGGGCCTTAGCGACGACAGAGTGTAAGCAAACATACTAAGGAAGGCTTTCTAACGCGCGCCGGCACAGTTCACTGGCAGAAAATGCACCGGGAGAACCGAAGAGCCCAGAATGAAGTGGAATGTTGAGGTCACAGGATATCAAAGCTTTGATATGGCGCGGTCTGGAGGATGGAGCGCACAAGGAAGGCAGTTCTGACTCCGAACCTACCCGGGCGGGAACACCGTCGAGGTCGCTCCCGCCACAGATCGAGACACCGCCGACGGCGCGATAGCGCGCAAGCCGAACTGTTTAAAAGTCAGCGTTCTGAAAACATCGGGTAGGACATACCATCATGAAGCACATATCGCTGCACATCTCGCCGCCGTCCTCACCGCCCTCGCCGTCGAAGCCCCTCCCCCGGAGCGACATAGGGAGCGCGCCGTCGCGGGGAGTGCGCAAGATTGTGAAGAATGCTCTCTCCCGCAGCTTCCGCCACATTTCCCATATCGGGCACCATCCCAACCCCGCGGCCATCACCGGAATCGACCGTCACGCCACCATCGCGGCAGCAGCAGCAACAACAACCACCACTGCTCGCTACTCTCCCGACGACCCCCTCCTCGACGTTGGCGACGTCTTCGACGCTCTTGCTATCCCCATCTCCCTCCCGCTTACTCCCAAGAACAAGTCCTCCTCTGATACCATGTCCTCGAATCCCTCTAGCGCTGGCGGCCAGGAAATACCCAAATCCACCACACTGGCCGTCGCAGCTGTCGAGGTCGCACACGATGTTCAGTCAGCTTGTAGCAGTCGAACCCCTCTTTCATCGCCTCTCGCATCGCCTCTCGTATCTGAAGGCGCTCTTCCTCCTACTTCGTTGCCTGTGAATGCAGGTGTTGATCATGCTGCTCATCCGTCATCTGACGAGAGGTTCCCGCACGAAGCAGCAGAAACACCTCTCAGTGTGGCGCAGCCGACATCGTCCAAAGACAAACATCTGGAGGAGGATGTTCATCCAGAGGATGCCACGACAGGTACGGTGACCTCAGCGGCAGCCGCGGAAAACGATGCGCATCCCGAAGCCCAAGTAGAGAGGATTGAAGAGCAGCCTACGCTAGACAGTCCTCAATTCGACGCGGCAGAGCCTGGCACCGAGGCACGGGACAGCGTTGGTGACTCCCCCGTCCCAGACGCTCCCGAAACGTTCTTCGACGACGAGCCTGAGGAGGCTTCAGTATCGGAGCCAGATGAAGAAGTATTGGATGAAACAGTGCCTTCTGGCTTGCACGTCGAGCAGGCACGCGAGCCTGTGCTCGCGTTGGCGGAGGACGTGTCCCTTGCTCAATCTTCAGAACAGCCAGCTTCCGTACCCGTGGCAAAACAGCCGGCTTCTCCGCCTGCTGCAGAAAAGCCTGTCCCGCCGCCGCCAACAACAGTTGAGGACGACGACGAAGACGACGAAGAACCCGAGTTGTATCTCCCCGGACTGACGCTCCCTACAATGTTCCTTCCTATTCCCAACGTACGCGCCCCGCTCTTCCACTCTCTCAATTGGTGGCTGCCACAACGCTCTATTTATAATCCCTGTACCATTAGACAGATCCATTGAGTACGTTATTGATCAAATATATCCCACCGGAAAGACGGCCAGTGCGGGACGTCAGTGGCAACTGGCAGGGCGCCGATTTTAACATGCTCGTCGTAAGTAATAAGCTGAGAGCTGCCGCGACGCCCAGAGTCTTGATGTGCTGTGCAGATGACGAACAGTTGGCGAGCACTGGCAAAAATGGCGCGAGATCGCCTTGTTGATTCCAACCCGGATGAACTGGATCTCGTACTCTCGGTAAGAGGAAACGCTTGCTCGATTACATTGTGCTGAGAACGCATAAGCTCTGGTACTTGCGACTGTCGTGCCTCGCGCGCTTGAGACTCTTTAATCAGACGTCTGCGGAATGCACGAGCCTCTTCACCGTGTTAAGCAATGTCAAGCCACAGTCTGCTCGGCAGTGGCTCTTCGAGAAGAAAGTTCCGTTCGAGCTCGAGGTGCTCTATGCTAGATTGAGGTACTGGGCGGGCGACCACATGGGATACTTGGATGCCCTGTCCGTCCTGCTGAGAGATTGCAAGCTCAAGGCACGCAAGGCAAGCGAAAAATCCGACACCGTTGGCTCCGGCATGTGGCAGGAGCGAGGTGCGAGAGTATGTCTCATCATCGCCTCTCAACTAGTCGAGATGAAAGTATGTCCGCTGCACACTGCGGCTGTTTGCATTGTTAAATGATCATAGGACTTCTCCGCCGCGGCCAAACTTCTGGAGCCGCTATGTAAACAACCCGGGAATGTAACGTCGCCGCACGTTCAGTCCGCGGTAGGAAGGATATATCTGCTGGGCGGGTATATTAGCATGGCGTCCAAGCATTTCGCGGAGGTCTCTCGGGATGTAACTGCAGACCCCGTCCTGAAGGCCATGAACGACGCTATGCTCGCCTGTGCGAATGGCGACTGGACGAAGGCTTCGAATGATCTCAACCAAATTTTGACTGCCGATCCTGAGCACTTTGTCGTGAGTACTGTATTAGACGTCATCAAATCATTGAAGAGTTATTCGTGTGCGTAGGCGGTCAATAACCTCGCGGTCGCGTTTCTGAGTCAGGGGCGAATTCAAGATGTAAGTCTGTTGTTGCTCACGGATTCAACAAATGATGTCATGGCCACTGCTCAGGGTATTCGGTTACTTGAAGAGACGATCAAGATCTCTCCTTCCTCCGCACTCGCCACTGAGCCGCTTCTGTTTAACCTCTGTGAGTGTGTCACTGGCAGCTGTGGCTGCATTCTATCTTAATGAATACCCTTATTGCAGCTACGATGTACGAGCTTCGCTCGACAGCAGGGGCGGATAAGAAGCGCAATCTCCTTATTGAGGTCGCTCAATGGGCTGGCGATGGGTTACGTACGACGTGCCTCAAGATGCCGTCAACTTGATCGAGCCATCATGACCGGGAGGCACGCGAACGTGCTGCTTTGGCACGGTGAGATCTCGAGCGTTGTGTACCGCGCGTTTCATATCCTAATATTCGCTATGTCCGTCGTGGAAGCCGCACTCCAATGGCAGTTAGCTAGCTGCTAAATGTCTCTAGATGTGTACATATTTTCTGGTAGTTTGTCTGTATTCTATCAATGATACGAACGGCAAATGACCCGTGACATAGCTTCACAAACGGCGTCTCGCCTAGGCTTTGGGATAAATCTCCTTTTTTGAGTGAGGGGAGGACAGGAGGTATAAGGTAAAAACAGGAGATTCGAGAAGTCGTCAAAGAGGCTTCATCCACTCTCGAGTCATCTTCCTGAGATCGGCCACGGCCTCCACGAAGTTGCTGTGGCGATCCAGGCTCGTAACGTCTAGATTACATGCAACTCGATACCGGAGCAGTCCATGCGTCGTGAGTTGATTCAGGAGGAGTTATCGATACATTCGCGATATTCATTCCACTCGAATAAATTCTATGAACCAATTCCCAATCTGACTATGGGCAGCGGCCCTTTCTGTGTGCAGTGCTTGAGATGCATAGGCGATTTCACGTCTAGGAAAAGCACAGGAGCGACCTAGCGCGACGGTGAACAGTGTCTTCAACGCAACACTCGCCGCGTGGGATTCAATTCTCTATAAGCGCCGGCATATATCTCCCGATGTGGTAGCTACACTTCCCCCGTCCGCGACTTGGCCGCACTTCGAGCGCGTGTCAACGGCCAGTTGATAAACCCTTCCTCTAGCTGCAATGTCTTCGCGAAATATAAGGGGTTTCCATGAACTCCCTGCGAACCCGACTTGGCTCGAGTTTCCTCGGTCAGACGGATCTCCCAATCGCCTACCCGCCAATACTACGCGCATCGTTGAAGACGGTCAGGTCAATTTCATGCGTCCTGTACCCATTGATGAGGGATCAGCTATTGGTTGGCGTATGGGAGCTGGAAAAGAAGTAGCAGTCAGGATGAATTTGCCCAGTACGTCGAGATTGCAATGGGTGCCAAAGGAGCTGACGGGACGCGTATCAACGTTGTATTAGAAGGAGTCAACTATGTATTCAAAGACTGGCCATACGGCTATGCGATGTATGATCACAACAAGGGCCCTGCCGATAATCCGCGGCATGATATATACCTTTGCGGTAGGCCTCTTCTCATCTATATTCCTCCTATGCTCAGTTACGCAGGCTCGATCAGCGTGAACCGATTTCGCTCCATCAACGAATTCATCCCGCACGCTCTCTGGTTGATGCAGGATGCCACCATGAACCGCGCGAATTGCAAGTGCAAATACTGTACTAAACAACCGCAGCGTATAATCACAGACACGCTTCAACTCCCAAGCGTCAAACGTGCACCTTCTCAGCACATCTCAACACGCTCTGTCCGGCCTTCGCGTCGATTTCGTGAACCCCGTATAGTCAAAAAGCCGTACGCGGCGATTCGGAAGGCTCCAAAACCCATCAGGCAGCTTACCGGGCCCTCACAATCTATAGTTCCTGAACGTGACTCGGACATCCGAGCATTGCTTTCAGGCAGCGAATTGGCAGCGCCAAGGTGGCACAGGAAAGGTGAACTTGTATGGTGTTTCCTGGATTCTCCGATTCGAGGTGAGGGCGAGAGGGACAGTATTCACTTCTGGCCCGGCACGGTGGAAGATGTAAACGTCCGAACCAAAGCGATACCGAAAGATGTCACACAAGATGCCCAGCGATTCGACCAGGTAGACGTCGATATGACACTCCTGTATGAACAGGAATCGGAGGCGGAAGCACCTAGAGCAGGATACAATAGGCAGCCTTTGTTTTCCTCGGTCGATGCCTCGAGCCACCTCTCTTCCGCACGAAATCAGCCTGGGCAGGAATCTGAGCCAGCGACAGAACAGAGCTCGGATGTACCATGGGAAGTGCGCCAGTGGAACGTCTACACGGTGAAACTGCTGGCAATCACCCACAGTTATGTCGGAACTGACACCCAAGTCTTGCCATATCTCGCGTATGCACCTCCACATGAGCTGGTCCATCGTATGCGCAGCGAATTGCTTGACTTCATGCGGGAAGTGCCAGTGCAGGATATGGATGGCGACATGTCGAAGATATTTCCCTTCAATCCCGTGGCTGCTCCGACCGACTCTCCTGTTTCTGATGGAAGACGCTTCAGGGAGGCAGTCGCTCCGTTCACGCTCGCCATCCAGATAGCATCGACTCTATCGCATTTTTGGGCGCCTACGGACGAGTATGAATTCCAGTTCGAGAAGCCGAGTGCATTATCTGCGCCTCCTCCTCCTCCTCCCCCTCCTTCGCAGCTTGCTCCACCCAGCGCATCTACTGCTCCAGCATCCAGTGCGTCTAACGCCCCGGCTACCCTACATTCCCTCATAATGCAGTCCATGACGAACAATGCTACCGAATTGAGTGCGCGAGCCAGCGCGCAGACGGTGCCTTCATCAGTAATTGGCGCACACGATCCCGGTATGTCCTCTGAAGGATCACACTCCGTCAAAGCAGCGACGTTAGAGCAAGCATCCCATCCGTCAGGAGCTTCTGTCACCCAACAACGTTTCCAAGGACTGTGGTGGGGCGCGGAACACATCTGGCAAGATGAACTTCTTCGGCTGAAACTATCACGCCACCAATTTGCACCTCAGGGCACCGAAGAGTTCGTCCCGCCTTCGGGACCGTCTTCATCTACCTTGGAGCAGATGCGCGACAATGGCTTTGCCGATGTCGTTGACGAGGCTATGATAGGTGCAGCGTACAAGGGGCTCTTCTTGCGATTGGAAGGTCTGTTTACTGTTGACGTTCCAACGGCCGATGGCTCCGGCGGCTTCACCAAGGAGTGCAGAGCTTGCGGGACCGTATATGAGCTTGCCGATGATGATTGGGAAGAGCCGGCTGCATCTAATGCATCAGTGGATGCACCGGCAGAACAGGAAATAGGAAAAGGAAAAGGAAAAGAAAAGGCTCATGAAGGTGAACGTGCGATGCACGGCTTCCCAGGGTCAATATCAAGCCATTCCGGTGTTCCTGGTTTAGCACTCTCACCAGGATCAGCTCCGATGAGGCGTGTCCCGTTGCCCGATCTACACTCTATCATCCCAGTCGAAGAGACCGCAGCGACAATCATTTCGCAGCCGGCGCCAAGCGCAATTGCAGTCGCAAAGGAACGCGATACCAACACGCAGCTCGCTCATCCAGTATTGACCACACCGTTCCGTTTACCTGATCCACCAAAGGGGTTCAAGTTCCGTCCCATCCACCCTCCTGGCTGTGAGGTGGTGATTGCTCTCACCTTTATCAGCGGACGATATTATCCACACCTGTTCCGACACCCCTTGATGGTGCCTCTGATCGAAAGAGCAGCTACTGCATCTGGAGGGCTATGGGAGAACCGACATCTGTGGGCCATGGAAGGTCTGCTCGCAGGAGTCTATCAGTCTATGGAGACCAGGAAATGGCAAAAGTCTCGAACGGCCATGTTGAAAGAAGCTGATCAGGAAGCACGAGCTCACTTCGCTGCGCTTTGGGAAGAATGCAGGAGAGAGAGGGAGGAGCAAGAGCGACCTATGGATGGAGAGAACAATCCAACACATAGTGTCCATGATAAGCTCATGGACATTGACAGAGCTTAGCTATGATCTTCAATTTCCAGATGTAGGGTTTGCTTGGTCGATTACATGGGTTCGTTCGAAGTCGACAAACGGCTGCTGCAACTTCGTTCCAGAATAAGGTGTACACTCATCATCTATCAAAAATGTGGATGCTTATGGGATGAATAAGGCACGAACGAGCGTAGTGGACTAACATAGGTTGAGGATTATACTGAACGAGTACGAAATAAGCCGGCGTAAACCACCATATCAACAACCCAACTGAACCTCTCGGAGCATTTGGTCAGGTCTGCCGACTAAGAACGTACTGACGTAGATCTTGCCATCCTGCACATCGTGGCACCAGTCAGAATGGACTCAATGCATACTTAAGCACAATGAGGGACATACCTCCACCGACACGGCACATCACCTTCTTGGTCGGGCCCTTGGCGCCCGGACGCGCGAGCGTCGTCAACTTACAGGCAACAACCTTTCGTACTAACGGGCCTGTAAAGGCATATTGCGCACGAATTTCCTCATTCTCCTTGGGTGTGCCCTTTAGAGGTGGATCCAGACGCTCGATTACCAAGTTATGCGCAAGCGAGTTCGCCACAGCAGCGATCTCTGCATCAAGAGGATCCTTCAAGCTGACAGGTATGTATTCGTGAACGGGATTGCCCTCGCCAGACCTATCCAAGCTCGGTGTGGCAGCCCCGGCACGGCTTGGAGGACGAGAAACACCGCTCGGTGTGCGTGGGTGCATTGACTCGCGGAAACTCGACGGCGGAAGTCTATTGGAAATAAGGGATGCCCTCGGCGTCCTCATTGTGGTCGGTAAGCCTTCGGATCTACGTGATCGAAGGGCGGGACTCGAGAATGACATAGAGCTATCAGGGCGGTAGTGCGACATGGCAGAGGATGGGCGTGACGCGGACGAAACGTGAACACTGGGGACGGGAATCATAGAGCGACTGGGAGGACGGGCAGGAATAGTGGAGCCCCCAGGTGTCTGAGGGCGCGCCATTGAAGATGAGGTTGCCTTGTGCAACGAGGAAGCAAGGTCATCCAGACCACAAATGGGGTCCGACGGTGAAGTTGAGATCGAGTGGATGTGAGACCGCATAGGCGTGGGGATGTGGCTTGGGGTCTTAGGCCGTGTACGCGGAGAAAGCGGCTCGGACGGCATGCTGACCTGCGAACGAGAAGGCGGACGAACAGACAACGGTTGACCGGAAATTTGTGAACGAGCTCGAGAAGGAGGGCGGGGCATAGAAACAGGCGGATTGGATGGTGCAGTGGAGGCGGAGGATGTGACCGGAGACCACGGCCTCGAAGAGGCCATGGAACTGCGGGACGCACTCCTGTTACTGTTCGGATATTGTGTATGATTCGGGAGAACATCTTCAGAATATCGATACAAAATCGAAAGTGATGGTCGAGCAGGAGATTGTTTCACCGTCGCCGAACGCTCGTCAGACTCAACCTTAGTAGAGTTGTTCCATGCTGGTCGGAACTTCAATGTGGAACCCGTATCCAACCTTTCTAGCTTTCTGTTAGACGGCGATGTGTCTGGCGTGAGGCTTTGCGTGTGTTTGTGAGAAGGCGTCGACGGGATGGGTGGCTGGCTGCCCGTAAAGTTCATCACTGACGCCCGATGCTTCAAAGTATGCATCCCTTCGCCCTCGGAGAGCACGCGTTTGCTAATACGCAGAGGTGATAGTTCAGATTCCGGAGATTGAGAGGGCCCATGTGACTTCAATTTGTGAGCAAGCTTGCGGAAGGGAGACAGCGACCGTGATAAGGCGTCCGAGCTCAGGGAACGCTCCAATGATGCCCAAGAGCCATTCATGGAAGGCGTTGCGAGGAGCCCATTCGAGGTTCTGAACGCTGACGGCGCGGCAGATGTATGAGACCCTGCATCGCTGGAGCTTCCAGAGAGTGTCCCATCATTAGTCAACATTCGCCTGACCGCGTCGAGCTCCTTGTCGATACGTGTTATTCTCTCTCTTAGGTTCTTCCAACGCTGGGTAGACTCCGCATGTCTTCGCAGGCATTCGCCGTTCTTCGTAACGCGATCCTGAACGCCTTTATCAAGTATGGACAGAACCTTCGTCGTAGATGACATATAGTGTCTGGTCGTTATGATCAGATTGTTATGCACAACACACAATGCGCCAACGGTAAGCCTTACTTCTTTCTCGCCTCGTACGACTCCACAGCAGCGTTGAATGTCTCGTAAGTCAATGGCTTCTCTGAGGAGAGAGACGACGTTGACGCGGACGGTGAAATTGGTTCCTCTATGCCATGCCGTTGAACTCTCCATACGAGCTCCTAGTAATGCTATGAGTATTCAGTCAACGTTGCGCCAAGGTCATCAGCTCACCTGACAATTGTTCACAGCCTTCTCTAAACTAGACATCATCCCGTTTGCTTGGTCTGTGACAGTTCTGAACACCGTCAACCACTTATCCTCCTTCAGCTCATCGCGTAGCACTTGGATGTCCTGTTGCAATGCTTCCCACTCCGCCATCATGTCAGCGTGCTTATGCAGAATCATCGCATTCTCTGTAGACTGGCGGCCGTTCTGAGAGCTCTCTAGCAGAGGCGTGAGCGTTTCATTAACTGACCGGATGCTTGCAGAGGCAGCCCGAACACGTTCATCTAAAACGCCGAGTGACTGGTCAATCAGCTTCGTCGCGCTCGATGAGTCGTCCGGATCTTGCGATTTGTGGCGCAACTCTTGAATTTCTGTGAAAAGGACGCAGTCAAATTGTGGCATACATTATGCCGTTGAATGAAGCAGCTGAACGTACCGAACATACGCGTCTGGATGTCTGACATACTATATGACAGTTCTGTGATGCGCGACGAGGCAGCGAGCACATGCAGGTCTCTAGCAATCATTGTTAGTTCTGTTTCGTTCATACTAACAATAGACGCACTCGCAGCTTTTTCGCTGTTCCTCATTCCGAAGGGTTGAATGCTTTGCAGTGATCGTATACTCTGCACTGTCTGTCAATCATTGCTGGAGATACATACCTCGACTTGGGCTTACCCTTGTCTGCAGGCGGTGGCGGCAACGATTTCTCAGAATAAGACGAGCCAGGATCATATGCAGGGACTGGTGGTGTTACATTGTTCAGACTATTCTGTGATGGTGACGAGAGTATGCTAGAAGACCGAGAAGAAGATATCCTGAGAGAAACCATGAGAACGAGCGAGGCGGCGACAGCACGAGCGACGTTTGGGTATCAAAGGATGAGCGTCGACTAGAGAGGGAGGCGATCTTTCGCTGAGAGGATCCGCCGGGTCTCGGATCGCTAGAGAGATGCGGGGTATAAGCAATGCGGTTGAGAGCAGACACGACGGATCCTCCCGGCCTCAATGACCAGGTGGGGCTCAGTTTGAAGGAGAATGACAAGAATTTGTGGCGAAATGCGAAGATATCAACAGGCCGATGACAAGTGCCGCAGGTGGCGGGCGAGATGGGTTCAAGTCGAGAGCCTTCGCGGGCGCCTTCATCCCGACATCCATCCCGAACATTTATAGTCCGAATTGTCAAGGTTCCCCGTCCTGTTGTAGGCTTGACCTGGAGGCAAAGATGAGGACGACGGAATGGACATTTGCCAGGTATTTCGCGATCACACCGTTCGCCATTCTCACTCTGTCTAATTATTATCCCGGCATGACGCCGTGGGCCGTCTAGATTCTGTGTCAAGTTACTTTTCTAAAGCCGAGCGGAAATTTAGAATAGATTGAGACGGCATGACCTGTGATGGTGGCGTTCCTGACCGCAAAACAGAATATATATCAGTCTCAATATCATCGACACTGTGATCATGGCTACGCCATCAATGGTGAACCGTGTGGTTGTAAGCCCAAAGCATTTTTGGCCGTTAGCAGCAGCTGAATATATACAGAAGCGGATGCCGCTCTCTCTTCTCTCTCCTCCCCTCCTCTCTCTCTCCCAATAAAACTATTTCACTTTCTTCCTCCCACAGTCCAACTAAACGACAACCGCGGCAAAGTGGCCCTTCGGAATCCAAAACGTTTTAGATGTTCTTGTTGGAATGTTTGGAAGTCACAGTCACTCACAGTCTCGCCCGACTTTGGTCTCTTTTTTAACCGCATTATCAGTTCTTCATAGCACACGACAAGATCTCCTTCCGCGACGAGCCCGAATCTGTTCCTCTACTTCACCCGTCCTGGGCCATCTACGAATCCCAGATCCCCTACGAAATGCCATTACTGCAGTCATAGCGGGCGAAGCTCTTAGTGCTGTCATTCAGCCGCCGAATTCGAACTCAATCTTCCTTGCGATGCGCCATCCTTTATTTGAGGACTTCTTGTTGGAATCTGGGTGCGGAGCGCAGATGTGAGAGGCCCCGGTGCGACCTGCGCCACCGGCGTGGGAGAGTAGTAGCGCGCGTGTATATAATAGGGCACGGCTACAATGGGACGGGCCATCGGTTTGGCCCCGTGAAGCCATCTTCTAGAGAGCGGGCGACTCCCGAACTCCTGACCGCGCAGCGGGCTGGCTGGGAAACTCAACACTTCTCAGAGCTGAAAGGCAGGCTCAAGGTCTACAAGACCCCGCAGGAGGATGTCTGTCTCATAGGCCAGAGAAACCTTGGAGTGAATGTTGCCGCTATAAATCCCAGCGTTCAAATCATATGAGCTCTGTCACTTTGATGCGCAGCTCATCATGGATCTGTAAAGTGAACATTGACTTTCAAATCATCAGCACCGGTCAATGCTCATTGCTGACGTTCCGCAGTCTTGCGAGCTACGCTGTCATACTTGCGGCAATTCATCTGATCTCCCTGGTTCGTGTTCAGTCGGTCCATGCATGCTCACTTGCCGTTTATTAGTAGTCGGTATTGAGACGTTATCCCATGGACCATCGTGTTTGATACAAGTCGGTCTACGCATATAGTGATTAGTCTCGTCGCGGTACAGCAAATATTACAAGATGTCCTGCGAACCCATAAATTTCAGCATTCTCTGAGACGTTTCCTCCGCTCCATTGAAATCAACGCTCACCGTTCTGCGGTCACTGTAGCCCTTAGCAATTTTACATGATAAATGGGATGCTGATCGAGAGCGACGTGAGTGTAGCCTGATCAATGACTCAGCACTCAGTACTCAGTACTCGTTCAACCGTTGAAATGTCAATATTGGCAGGGCGTCGGCAGACTTTACGATAAAAAAGTTGGCGACGAGCGAGCGCCGAGCCTTGTCATCAACTTCCACCATTTTGAAGATTAAACAGTGTCGCCACAATCGCTCTCAGTGACCGAACACCGACGCTGTGCGTGCCGATGTGAACAATCTTGTCCATCGAATCGTGAATCATGTCCATGAAACGATCACATTACACGCTGCAGCCGCAGCTGAAGTGCATTTCAGTTGACGGAATAATACATTCCCAGAGCTCATATCAAACATCTCTCTTCCTGTCATACGATCGCACCTTCGAGAACCAAAATGGCCGCTCGTGTTTGAGCGCAAGCGGCGTCGTCTCTCCGCTCTCGATGTCCACGCTATCATATGCACGGAAATCGAGACGGTTCCACCGGCCGAGTGGGCGCGAGCGGAGGTCGAGCGTCATTTGGAACGCATACCGAGCGCGTGAATCCATCGACGGGTGCGGGTCAGTCAGCGAGGTGACGTGCACCGTTGTGCCGGATAGGTGCCAGTTGCCGATGAAGAGGCCCTGTCGAACCGTATGCGCGTGAGATCGTCAGCGAGGGAATGGCACAGCATACCTTCATGTGCAGCGTTGGTTTGAGTACGGGTATGATCTGCTGCGGCGGCATTTCCTCATTGGCGAGAAGGGAAAGAACTTGCCCATTCGGATAGAACCGTCTGCGACAGATACATCAACGTCCATGATTCTATGGCATGTACAGGAAATTCAGACTCACAGATAGCGGTGGTATGTGATCAAGTGACTGACCTGTTCATGTCTGTCCTTCAGCTAACCTCGTCTATCAACCTGCAAGCAGACATACGTTCACCCACGCGTTCTCGCTAGCCCCGGCTCGGCTGTAGTACATCATTCATATCAGCAGTGTAAGATTAAGGGCTGAACTGTGCGTACATGTAATGGCACACTGCAATATACACGCCGTCCCATCGGACACGAGGGTGTTCGATGAATAACCGCCTGTAGTCTGATGAGTATTGCAGCACCAGCACGGTCAGGTCCTCCTCATCGGATATTTGTGGAGGTCTGTAATGAGTTCGCACAAGGTCTCTGTAAAAGCGCTTTCAGTCGAACCGCACAGGCTCAGCAAACCATATGCACGCGCACCTCCATATGCTTATGTCCAATGAGACCACACGAGCCTTACGATTGACCAGAGCGAAACGCTCCAGAGTCGTGATATTAAGACACCGAAGAATATGCACAAGCAGCTCGTTCGGCAATCTCTGTAGAGGCGTTGCTTGCTTCTCGTCCTCAGGCTCAAAAGCCAAGTCCTGCGGCCAACTCGCTAAAATGCTCGCCAGCATTCCGTTCGTCACCGATCCCCCAGCATCCCGCACTGCTATCGAGCGTAGGTCCAGCGCATTTATGCCCTCCGCGAGCACGTCAACGCTCGAGCCTCTCTCCGCCGCCTTGTGACGCTTCTCCGCACGCGACGCGTGCTCGAGCTGCGTCTCAACCTTGTGATAAGCGCGATCGACATTTGAGTCAATGCGAAAGGCGGAGCGGTATAACTGGAGTGCCTCGTTGAGGTTGCCCTGCTGCTCGCACTGTACCGCGCGGCGGTATACGTCCACCGCTCTGCCAAGGGTCCTGCCGAGCGGTGCGTCCACCGAAGGGGCGCGCACGGCCGTCCCTTCGTAGATGCGATATACAGGTTGTGCAGGTCGTGCGCCCTGAGCCTCCTCGTGTAGGCGGGGCTTTGCCCAATGCAGAGTGTCAGGGCTCTTGCCTTGAGATGCGTGTGGCCTAGCAGCGTCCTCAGGAAACAGTCCCGCGTCTGCCTGTGCCTTCCTCCTGCGCACCTCCGCCTTCCATTCTTCCCTGAAGCGTGCGAGCTCGTCCGAGTCGTCGATGGGCGCCGCAGAGGGCTGCAACGAATGCATCCCGGAGGTCTGAGGAATAGCGACCACCCGGTCTGTCAGGGTTAAGGACTCACACCGTTACATAATCAAGCTCTCATGGAAATCCTCATTTGGACTTATCCCCGAAAATGAAGAATTCCCGATTATCCCTCCCATCTCTCCGTGCCTGTCCACGCCCGTGTTCGTGTCCACGTCTGCATCTTCACCGCCGCTACAGCATCTTCCTCCGCTCTGTCTGTCTCCGAGAGAAACGCGCCTACCAGATAACTCAGCTGTAGCGATCGCAGATGGAGAGCAACCGGGATGAAGCACTAAAGTGTCTCGCGATTGCCCAGCGACGCAGGGACTCTGGCGATCTCGCCGCCGCCCGCCGCTTCTGCCAAAAGTCTCTCGCGCTCTTCTCGACTACGGAGGCACTCAAGCTGCTTGAGATCATCGACGCCGAGGCTGCCTCGTCAGAATATACACAGCCCTCATCATCCTCTTCCAGCTCCTCGAGCTCCAGCGGGCCGGCATTTGCCTCATCCACAGAGACGCACCCCTCTGCGTCGGGCGCACGTCATCGCCACTCTGGAAGCACAGCTCCAAATGGTCCGGGCACAAAGGAGAACGGAGCCGCGGCAGGCTCTGGGTCAAAGAAGCGGGATTACACGCCGGAGCAGGAACAGGTGGTGAAGCGTGTGCGGGCGTGCAAGGTGACTGAATATTATGAGATTCTGTCGCTGAAGCGGGAGTGCGAAGAGACGGAGATCAAGAGAGCATATCGGAAGGTTCGCAGCTTGGTGGCATGGCTGGATGTTAATTGATAGGGCAATTTGCTCCGACAGCTAGCATTGTCGCTACATCCCGACAAGAACGGCGCGCCAGGGGCGGATGAAGCATTCAAGAGTGCGTTCTCTTGCTGCTTCGAACTTGTTCCGTAAATCTCACGGCCTGTTTGCAGTGGTCTCAAAAGCATTCCAAGTTCTTTCAGGTATATATTGCGCCTTGCCCTGTCGTCACTCCTAATCCTCGAGTCCTTTAGATCCGCAGAAACGAACAGCACACGATCAACATGGCTCGGATCCAGAATCTCGCTTCAGCGGCATGCCGTCCGCAAGCCGTGGTCCACCAGGTTTCACGAATACTCCGTTCGCGAGCAGTGGGTTCGAGGGCGAGATATCCCCCGAGGATCTGTTCAACATGTTCTTTGGTGGCGGGATGGGTGGCGGTCCATTTGGTGGCGGGCCTTTCGGCGGCGGCCGTGGTGAGCATGCTTCAGTCATGTTATGTGCGCTGTTACTAACTTTTTTGAGTGTTCACTACATCATTTGGCCCTGGCGGGTTCCGCGCAACGAGGGCCCGCACTAACACGCACCAAGAGCGACAACAAGCTGCGGAACCACGGTCAACATTTATGCAGCTCCTCCCCCTCATTATCCTATTCCTATTCTCCTTCATCCACATGCTCCCTGATTTGTTCAGCCCTCCAGCCTCACCGGACCCGCGCTTCTCGTTCACGCCATCTCCGCGGTACAACGTCGAGCGTCAGACGGGCAGGCTCAACGTTAAATACCACGTTAATGCGCAAGAGTTTTCAGGACATTCCATCGGTGCAGAGCTCGCGCGGAACGGGAACAAGCATGGGCCCGAGCTCAGCAGATTTGAGAAGACGGTAGAGCAGCTATACACGCAGGATTTGTTCTCGCAGTGTCAGCGCGGGGTGGAGCGGAAGGAGCGGCGACGGGACCAGGAGGTAGGGCTGTTTGGGATCGGAACGAACTGGGAGACGGTGAAGCGGATAGAAGCGGAGCGGGTCGAGAGCTGCGAGCGGCTGAAGGAAATGGGACTATTGAAGAGCTAATTGTGCCTCTCTTGGGTTGTGCGGAGGAGGATGTCAGATTGTACAGATACTTTCACATCGGACTGGCAGGATATACAGCATCATCTTATTCATTTTTATCTACCTAATTCGTCACCGTTGGCCCCCGGTGCTTGTTGTGCTCTCACGCCGCGCTGGAAATACACCAAAGTTAATCGGGATAGATGTGTGAATGAATCATGGTTCGATGTACAACGGAAGCGAGAACGCGCGGTCCGAAATCGGGTAAGCTACGATGCATGCACGTCTACTGCTGAGCCTTGGCCCGTTCGAGCTTGAGGTAGAACTCCTCCTGCTTTTGCACTGTTGGGGCACAGAGTGAGCAACACGATGAGACATACGAGATATCACGACGGAGCGGTGGGCATACCGTGCTTGAGGTGCACGCCGTACCTGCGAACGGGAGTGAGGAGACGGTCTGACGCGGAGAAATGACGCGACTTACCAGAACGCATAGCCCCCGCTGATGCCCATACCGAGGGCGACGGAGAGGTCGAGCCAGAAGCGCTTCCTGAGCTTTCCGGTGATGGGTGCGATGGGCATGGCTATTGCGAGGACGAGTTTCGATGAGGAGACGGATGGGGAGCAGGAGAAAGTCGGGAGATGGGCCCAACAGCGCTTTTAGCCACAGACAAACAGGACAAAACAGTTCTCGAGTGCCCCAGGCGTGCCCGATCGCCTCGCGGGGCGGAGAACCGGCTGCTGCAACAAGTCCAGTCCTCACAACACGCGCCACACTCGCTCTCATCGTCTGCATCGTCCACCGCGACCGTCCGCCCATCGTCGCCGCCGCTATCACTGCCTCTGGTTCACTCGCCCTTCAAATCGCCGCGCAAGTCAGTCGTCACATCCAACCTACACCCCACAACCACCGTTCGTCATGGATCTCGACGCGTCTAGCTCAGGCGGATGGCGTTTCGCTCAATGCTTTGGAGACAAGGGGGACGTGGAGGACATCACAGAGGGTCGGTCTCTCCTCTGCATCTGTCCCCGCTGTCGCCTTATCGCTCCCCACAGCCGACATCATTTCCACCGTCGAGTTTGACTCTACAGGCAACTACCTTGCAACAGGAGACAAGGGCGGCCGTGTCGTTCTCTTCGAGCGCAACGAGATGGTGCGTACTCTGACCTCTTCCGGCCCCGCCCCGCGCGCTGACGACGTGTCACTGCCTCCCTCACCAGAAAAAAGGCTGTGAATACAAGTTCTACACCGAGTTCCAGTCGCACGAGCCCGAATTCGACTACCTCAAATCCCTCGAGATCGAGGAGAAGATCAACAAGATCAAGTGGTGCAGACGCCAGAATGCGGCCCATTTCCTCCTCTCTACCAATGGTGTGTTTCGCTGATCGGTGCCACAAATCCCTGGCTCACACGTACGCAGACAAAACCATTAAGCTGTGGAAGGTCTTTGAGAAGTCGTTGCGGGTAGTGCACCAGACCAACATGCCCGAAGGTGTGCGGACGCTGCCCACACCATTATCGGCGCAGGGCCTGCACCTTCCGCGAATGACGCATCAGGACAACATCATCGCTGCCGTCCCTCGAAAGGTCTACTCGAACGCTCATGCATACCACATACATTCCATATCCGTCAACTCGGACCAGGAGACATATATTTCCGCCGACGACCTCAGAATCAATCTCTGGAACCTCAACATCAGTGACAGGAGCTTTAGTGCGTGTTTCGCGCGGCTACGTCCCGATTTGGATGCTCACCCCGATCTTGCAGACATCGTCGATATCAAGCCCGTCAACATGGAGGAGCTCACTGAGGTCATCACCGCCGCCGAGTTCCATCCGACACATTGCAACTTGTTTATGTACTCCAGCTCAAAAAGCAACATCAAGCTCGCCGACATGCGCGACTCGGCATTATGTGACCGGTATGCGAAGAGTAAGTGTTTCTCCCGCTTCCCGTTGCCCGCAGTACGACGCAGCCTCACATTTGTCGCGCAGTGTTCGAGGAAGAGGAAGATCCAACAAACCGGTCCTTCTTCTCGGAGATCATATCTTCCATCTCGGATGTCAAGTTCAGCCACGACGGCCGGTACATTCTCTCGCGTGACTACCTATCGCTCAAGATCTGGGACATCAATATGGAGTCGAAGCCCATAAAGACGATTAACATTCACGATCATTTGCGAGGGAAACTCTGTGATCTGTACGAGAACGACTGCATCTTCGACAAGTTTGAGTGTACATGGGGTGGAGACGATAAGTAAGCATTGTCAACTTACTCGTGCCTGGACGGTCGTTGTTAACACGTGTGCACGTCGTTTCACAGGCATGTCTTGACGGGCTCGTATCACAATTACTTCCGGATATTCGACGTGGACACTCTCAACGACGTCGTGTTGCAGGCGGACAAGTCCGCATTCAAGGCGAAGAAGATTGGTGGGCCGTTGCCGGTAAACAAGCCCGGTGCGAAGAACGGCGTGCGCCCTGGTGGCCTGCGCGAGAACATGGCGATGGAGACGCTCGACTTCAACAAGAAGATCCTGCACGCGAGCTGGCATCCGAAAGAGAACACCATCGCCGTGCGTATATTTTACGAAAGGATCTTGCGCGACGTCACTAACCAGCGAATGCGCAGATCGCGGCGACGAACAATTTGTTCCTGTACAGCGCCGCATGAGTGCGGCGTGTTTGCGTCCTGCATACCATCGCGTTCATACCACCCGCCCATGCCCGACCTATGCACACGCGTCCATTCCATGCCCCGCCCATCCCACCGACCATGCATCTTTCATGCATACACGCACGCAACACATATCCATGCCGACCGCGGCAGACTAGGACTGACGCACGAGATACCGATTCACTTTCATCCCAGATGGACATTGACTTCACGCCTTCCAGCCGCCCGCTACAACCTCTGCCTACTGCTGTCTGTTTTATACGCGCTACACTAATGCAGTATTCCTTCGCTCTCTCTGCACTCCTTCCCTGGACCAGCCGGAGCTCCCCGTTCCTGTTCCCACTTCCCTTGGCCCGCTCGTATATATTCCGTGCGCGTTCTTGTTCTTTTGTCCGGTTGACATTGGCTCTGTTGTCTGCGTTCTGCGTCTGTATCTTATCCATCGCTCGTTACAAGTTGGAGGAGTAGAAGCAAAGAATGTACATCGAAGTGAATAAAAGTTTTCAGATTCCTCATGTGGTCGGTTGTGAGCTTTCAGACTCCCTCAGTAGTAAGTGGTGCATCGAATGTGATATTGTTATTATTATATGCGTGCGTCAGAATCTAGGTACATGCAAGCATGAGAGCTATCGTGGAGAGTGACGGCTAGCATGAATGTTCAGTGCAAGAACCCGCCGTCCCGGACTCAACGATGACCTTCCCCAATCTAGAACTAAACCGCTTCTCCATCACTCCCAGTACCGCGGAATCTTCGCGTCCTGTTCGCTCCCTCCTACCTCCAAGAAATCCGACGGCCGCTCGCGCTTCAGGTTCCTCCTCCTGTTGTTCAGCGGCAGGCGCTGGTATGCCGAATCCTGGCTCGCAGGTTGCTGGTTCGGGAACGAGCTCGTCCACGCGCCGGGGTGGAAGTCCTGCTGGAAGCCCTGCATGTTGTTGAACGGCATCGCTGCTGCAGCCGCTGCGGCAGGCTGGAACGACGCGGCCATCGCGACGACCTGAGCCTGCTGAAGCTCCATCTGCAGCTGTTGATGCTTCATCTGCGTCTGCCGCCGTACCTGTGGCGGAAGCGACGGGTTATTGAGCATGATTTGGATCTGGGATATTTGCGCTTGAAGTTGGGGGATCGTTTCGGCTATGATCTGTGACACATCCAGCTCGTTGCCGGGCTGCTGCTCGTAGTACTCCTGATCAAATGCTGCGGCTTCCAATGCTTGTTTTTCCTAGAGGGCAAAAGTTCACATTGCTGGAAGCAATGAATAGCAAATGGTGCCTACTTTGTTGGACGGCTCCGGCGTCCCTGTTGACTTGATCTCCTCCTCGATTTCATGCTTGCTCTTCTCGATCTCTTGGTCGATGTAATCTGCTACCCTCGTCCGCGTGGGCTTGTCCATCATCAGTTTATCGAGTGATGCAACCTTAGCGCCGCAATTGGGGCAGATGAAGTCGCGCTCAAGCAGATACGTCTGTATGCATTCTTCACAGTAGAGAGTACCACAGCATGGTGTCTTGACAGCATCACGGTAGAGCTTGTTGTCTATCGGACATACGAGGGATGGATCTATGGGCGTGCGCTCACGAATATCGGCCTCCGTCACACCCTTGTGCTTCGTCACTTGCTTCTGCCATGATGCGCTAGAGGCTCGATTAGTGAAGTGAATTTGTTGATTTCTAGGCGGACATACACATCGGGCTGCGCTACGACGTAACCACCCTCAGGCGTAACCATGACGCCTTGCCCGACCTGACCTACAGGCGTCTCAACTGCTTTCAAGAAGCTGCGAGGAATACCGGTCGTACGCTTGATGCGAGGTCGATTATCATAGTCACGGTCGTTGTTTGTAGGGCAGTCTTGTATCCAGTGACCTTAGAATGCAATCGTACGGTGAGAAATTCTATGCGCGTATGTCTGAAGTATTGCAAACCTTTCTGGCCGCAACGGTAGCATACATAGCTGGCAGGTAGCGGGCGGTCCGGCTGGTGATGGTAGTGTTTCCCACCACGACCTCCTAGTGAGGAACCTCGGAGTGCACTGGGAATGCGGGCGGCACTGTTGATTGCGATATGCAATAAAAACAGCACGGACCACACGAGAAACAAATTCATTAGAAGAGATTCTACTATAGTGACAGCAATGCCGCATGAGGCAAAACACCGACTGAGACATCTTTTCCTGGGTCTCCTCCCAGTTTGCACTTTGCATTTGGAACATGGCCGCCATGGCTGCAGCTTCGTCTTCATTCGTGACGGCGGTTTTGACGGAAATTGCCTGGAAGAGAATGAGAGTGCACGGGGCAATAGACCAGATGTTGCAGCATACCTGTGCACTTTTGAGAGTAACGGTGGAAGCATCCTTCTCCACTTTGACATCAAAACGCTTAGAAATATTACCTGTACCCCTATGCCAAGACCCGGGAGTGCTGGCGCCTCCAGACGTTCGGGAAGGTACCTCAGATGTCGTTGAAGCATTTCCCGCACTGCTGGTATACATAGCAGCCTTGCCCTTCCCAGGGCGAGCATATATTCGTTTCACCACCACAGATGAGGAACGGGGTATAAAATAAGAGTCATCCTTGAACTCTACGATGAAAAAGCTAGGGTGAGGACAGACTTCATCGTAGTGCTTCGAAATCCTACCTTCTCCGGAAGAGCCATCGAGTACGATGAGATCAAAATCATTGGCTTTTGACATATTGTTTGCTAGAATGATCTCTTTCTTGAGGTCGAAGACAGATATGCCGGTACCGTCAAAATTTATCCTCGACTCATCCTTCTGAGCTTTGAACCGGTAGAAAACCGACGATGCCATCGAACAGCCAAGTTATGGGTAAAAGACCACTCTTTATTTCTACGAGGCGGACAAAGGGTAGAAAAGACGACAGCAGGACAATGGCAGATGACGGTTTGAGACGAGAAAGAGCAGACCAGGTGCACAGCGATTCATGCTGCTATAAGCGCTGCCTGAGCAATTTTCCCACGGCTGCTACTCGCCACGACCGACGACCACGACACGTCCGTTCATGGCCCTCTCCGCCCGTCTGCCTTTGTTTCCGCTCTTTCTGCTGTTCTCGTTGATTGCGTGTGCAAATGCCCTCCATTTCTATCTCGACACAAATGAAAAACGGTGCTTTGTCGAGGAACTTCCTACTGATACAGTCGTAGATGGTATGCATGCTCCTCACCCGTTGATGCTACATGTGTGCATAGTATGCTGACGGATCGCATATTGTAGGACACTATAGAGCACTTGAGTGGTCAGAAAAAGAACAAGCATATATCGAGAATCCCGAGCTAGGAATCCTAGTTGAGGTGGACGTGAGTACTTTGGCCACACTAAGCTATGTACACGTCGTCGTCACTGACGCGCGCTTCTGCTGTTCAGGAACTCGAGACAAGTCATAACGTCGTGAAGACACGCGGTCCTCCGGAAGGACGGTTCACATTCACGTCGCACGACGCAGGAGACCACGCTATCTGCCTTTCCGCATCCTATCCCTCCTCCGGGTCGTGGTTTGGCTCAACACACATTCGGTTGTACCTCGACATCGTTGTTGGTGCTACTAAGCCCGACACAGAACATGACCGATCACACATTTCCGAGCTTTCGGCTAAACTTCGCGATTTGAACCAGAAATTGGAGGATATTCGGAGAGAACAGCAGTATCAGCGCGAGAGAGAGGCGAATTTCCGCGACTTGAGTGAGGCCACAAACAGTCGCGCAGTGTGGTATAGCGTAGCGCAAATTGTCGTATTGGTCCTCACTTGTGCGTGGCAATTGAGGCACCTGAGGGTGAGTAATTGCCATCGTCTGGAGACGTCAGCAACCTGATTAAGTCCTCGCGATGTTTTTTGCAGCGCTTCTTCGAGGATAGAAAAATGCACTGATGACTGTAATCGCTACGTCTCTATGGGGCTTGGAGACAAATTCTGCGAGTTGCTTCATAAGCTTGCCAATTCTGGTGATGCTCGACGACACACAACCCCACCGTCACATATTAATTTCGTCAAATGGGTAAGATCGCGACATTGATTATGAAAACTCTGCAGCCCAGCAGCTTGGAGGACCCCTGCTAATGGCATCGGCTCTCTGTCTAGCAATATTCGATTCATCAGAGACGCAATTATGCGACATCCAATCGATGTGGGCATCCTCCAGGAGGCCTGTACGCTCAGTACCTTTGCCATCTGCCAGGATGACCCCATCGCCTCATCATCGACAAATTCCGCTACAGCCTCGAGTTTCCGACTTTTTCGAATGTCACCGGAGTTATCAACGACAAGTACCTTCGTAGATTGCGCAATCCCGCGCGATTTTGACGTTGATCAGCAGGGTGATTTCATACGTAGGAAGCGATGGTGAGCAACAGCACGGAATAACGTGAAGAAGGATGGATATACGGGAAGACGTGGAGAAACGATTCCTTCAGGTCCTTGAGTAGGATGTTGCGAAAAATATACCAATTCCACCGCGAAGAGAAATATATTGACTGTAACAACAGTCACTGTAGGGCATTCTATCTACAATTAGCGACGTCGTGAACACGTCGATTGTCACGCTGGACTAGCCGTTGGACGACCCGATCAAGGATCCGATCGCAACAATTAAGCTATGAGCTTGATGTACCATCCGTTTGCTTCACGCCACTTCTTGACTACGCCAAACGATCCATTAGAGGAAAAAAAAAGTTCAAGAACTTGCGACAGGGACATACGAGGGATATCGTAGAAACCGGGATGACTATGTCCGTGAACACGCTTCCAGCAAAGTTATGCCTACGACAGTTCACATTCATGTTTTAGTGGAATGCCGTTTGATATGGCGTCAAAGGACTCATAAGGCGTGACCGTCTCTTCAACATCAGCGGTCGGCAGGAGCTTGAGCTGTTCGTGCTGCATCAAAGATAGCTCGCACTTGCAATGGCTTCACGGTTTTCGATGCCCCTAGCAGTTGCAACCGCCATTCTGGTAAAACTAGTTGCACACGCATGAAGGAGAATGGAACACACGAGAAGTCGAGGACTACGACACTAGCGAGTGTGTATTGACACACTGATTCAGCTGTTTTAGAGAGCAGCCAGCGCATTGATGATGTTGCTTATTTCACGAACCCAGTTATGGAGCAGGGTCAGCAGTGACAAGCCCTTTTGAACCATGCCGTATATCAGGACGCCATATACTGGCGAACCAATTGCACTCTACGCGTACAAAAACGGCATTTGAGTAAATGGAAGCGATTTCAAGGGAAGCAGACGTTATAAATACCTGCGCTAGAGAATCAGCAATGAGCGTGATCGTGATAATACCGTGAGTGTGGCGTTATTCTGTTGCGGATCTGAACAATTAGCATCCCCAATAGACCCCAACAAGATATATTCCTAAAAGGCAGAGCAAACCAGAGTTATACTTGTTGGCTTCGCGTGGTGAAATGCTTGAAGGCCTATTCTAGGTCACGTTCCAAGTCAATAGACCCTGAGGTAATGAGAACATCTGAACAGATAGTATCATTAACGACTCTGGTCATTGATTTGGTCCATGTGAAACTCGGAGTGCGGTTGAATGAACTGTCCTGAACTTGGTGTGAGTTGGAGCACGTATCTGCATCTCTATGCGCTGGACACGAACCTCAGCGACGAGATGAAGACCGATCCAGTGCGCCACGTCGCCTGTATATTCTCATGTTCGATCAGTTTCTATGCATATAGCGCTCAGCGTTGTCGACGCAATTGATCGTTGGCCAATTTGAAGTTCAGGTAGTTGGGCGGTCCCTTTTCTTTGGGAGATGATGGTGAGGACTGGGCTGCCAGTGGCCCGCTGAAACGGGCACGTACCTCGCATAGTGCTAACCATTTGTCCCTCCTTACACTGTGCAGTGATCTTCGGCAAATTCGCCGTGCGTGTGACTGCATTTTCGTCCTCTCCTTCTCCGATAACTGCGCCATGACGAGCTCCCGGGTCCGCACTGAAACTTCGATCAAAAGCGCATACGAGAAGATGTATTGTAAGAACACGCGGACAGCATGAAACATAGACCATAGCGCATGGCTCGAGTTGCATCGAGCACTTTACTGTGCAAACACTCTATGACGTAAGGAGGTTGAGCTCCCGTATATGTATATATGTGCATGTTTCGCATACGACTGTTTGGCGTTGTTATGGAACTATGGAAGGGCATAAGCAGACTGGTTAGACGGATTGAACTGGGCGCACATCGCGGCAGGGTGCAGCATTGCGGGCGGACAACTTAAACAACAGAATGGTTGTGATGGTCCTTGAATTCACTGGAGGTACTGTCTGAAGGAGCGAAGGCCATGCCAGCCTTCTGTGAAGTATAGTCAACGATGATATCACGTAGAACATATATGTGGTGGTCTAACCTGTGCATCTCCTGTACATATCTCCTGTGTAACCTCCACATGGAACGCATTGCTCGGGATGGCGCTGTCGGTGCGCTTTGACTCCGACCCAGATAAAAACGTGTGATTCGCAGCATTGAAAGTAGACATGGAGATAACCTCTCCGGACTGCAGCATCCTGGCCCGATTGTTGAAGTTGATAAGCAGGGTGTTCGAATATCTAACAACCGCGGTGAACTTTAATCCTGCATAAGAATTAACGACGCACAACTTTGAGAGCATCATCACTCTGGATAGCACGTTAGTATCAATAACAAAGATTGAACGACGGACGCACAGGCACGTGTGGAGGTACGTTTTCTTGAGTTCTTGGTTGAGACATGGCAACATTGTAGGAAAAGAATGGACCCACCAGCGTCACGTTGAAGACGATCAGGTCTATTGTCGCGATAGTTGCTGAGGAACGAGTGAGCAATGTCGTCACGAGTCACTGGCAGTGATCGCTTAACAAACCAGTCAAGGAGCCAGTCTCCACGACCAAAATAATGAGTTGATTGAGCATGGCATCGGAGCGTTTCACACCAGTCTTGGATCGTGACAGCTGTTCGAACAATGGAAATCAGCGGCCTTGACAGGAAGCATGCGGGGTTGACCAACGAGGTATGTCATGGAGACAGCAATGACTATATCCGTAAATACACTTCCAACCAGCCATGCCTAATGTTAGTTCTGAATCAGTCGGACGTTCACCTACACTGGCGCGAAGTAGCTCGCACATCAATATAAGGCGTGGCTTGTCCTTGATCGGCGGCGGCGGGCAATAGTTTCAGCTGCTTGCGATAGATTAATCACAGTTTAATTTACTTCAGATGACGGACCTTCACACCGCTGGCGATGGCAGCTGACATCTGTGCAAATGCAACCTGGAGAGACTCCATCAAAAATGCACAAGAATCAACGGAGTAATGCATACGATAACTATGGCACCAACTAGCAGACGAGCTCTTGACAGCACGTAGATGCGCCACGCAAAAAACATTTGGACTCCCGCTGATAGCACGCCGCATATGACAGGGACGCTGAACCAGCCATTGTGGAAAGTGGCCAGCGCGTCGATGTTACCATAGCCATATACCCAATTATCAAATGAATCAGCTGTAAGGAGACCGGTTTGGACTATCTCGCAGGCCAACACGGCGTAGACTGGAATAAACGACGTCTGGCTAGTGTCGAAATGCATAGTGCTGCATGCATACCAAAGCATTTCATAGTGAGGCGGTCTCGAGGAAAGCAGATATGATAAATGTCTGCATCAGTTAATCAGCTATGCTCATGTTTACATGCGATATTGGGCCGCCCTTACAGACTTGCACGATGAGCATGCCTAGCAGACCCCAGTTAAAGAACATCCCCAAGATCTAGAGAACAGTCAGTGCTGCATGATACATTGAATTTTGCGCTGTAGCTTACCAAAGGGCCTGCCCTACAATGGAATCCTGCGTCAGGAAAGTCGTTCAACGGAGAGGCTCTAATAGCACATACAATAAAGTGTCCTTGGCAGCCATCACTGATCACAGGTCACGAACGATCCTTGATTTTCACTTGGGCCGACTCTGGTCTATGAGGAGGGACAGAAAAAGGTGCCAGGCTTTAAGCAATTGCGAAGGCGGACAGTGTGGGACAGCAGGTGGCATTGAGCAGAGCCATCCACCGAAGCCTGCTGTAGAGGTCATACCCCCGGAGAGTCCGAGACAATGAACCTCTCACGGTGGCTAAGTGATGTTCGTGTTCGCACTCACTTGAGGTTCACGAGTACTATCGCCGGCAAACGGACATGGTCCGCTGTTTCAGCTGACACACCCGGGCCTCGTCTGATTCAAAATTACGTTACATGAGCATCTTCATCTCCGAAATGCGTCAATTGAATACCGGATGGCACGTTATTGGCTGAGATGTGCGGTGGGCTGAGGATCGTTGTAGCGAATATCGACCGAACATGATGCCGTTCTTTCTCACGTAGCCTATCATAGACATGTCTACTACAGAGTCTCAGATCTCGTCGTACATATTAGACTCAGGCATGCCCGATGGGATCCGAGAAAGTCAGCGGCACGTCAACAGCATCATTCGGCATGTCTCGGCATACTCATCACGGGGCGACACGGGTTCCAAAAGGGGTTGAAGAAGCAGGCCTATTAGTCTCGTTCCCAGACGTGGTGACTGGCGCCACTAGGAGCCGTAATTCCGATCTAACCCGCGGCGTTGTTCGATCAACAACGCGGTACTTGAACTGTCAGCTTGTTCATATCGTAACCGCCAGATCTATCACAAGAATTCACTTCGTAGGAGTTGGATCCATCTTTCATTATCGTCGGAACTGAGTTGGGCCATCTATCCCAATCAAGGTTCCATGAGGCTGGTACTTGTTCAACTTCCGTGCAAAGCGTCGGCGGTGCCTTCCCTATATGATGGTTTCGAGTCTGCATTCTTCTTCTGATATCCCCGTGCCTTACCGTATCTTCATGCATCGACCATAATAGCTACATTCATCAACACATGATTTCACTTCGGTCAGATTTTACCACATCGCCGAGTGTCTCGCAACATCATCTGTCATCAAGCAGCTTCGTGATAGTGAGATGGAGTGTTCGCGGTCTCTGACGAGAGTGAGACGTGCTGGGCTCCCGTTTTCCCGTCTCTCCAGCGATCTTTTCCCACCGTTCTCAGATCCAGGTTAAAGGCTCGACTCTGATCCGCCGTTAAGCTTCAACAGCACTCACCTGAAAACCCAACCATGGAGAGCAGACTGTCTCAAGTCGCCGATATCAGTGGAAAGCGTTTCGACTTCGTCATTGTCGGTGAGATGGAAGGGCCTCGTTACATAGCTGGAAAATACTCACAGTCATCGTGTTTTTAGGTGGTGGGGTAGGGGTTTGCTCTCTCAGACACTAGCGGCCGCGGCATTCATCCTCCGTTTCCAGACGGCGGGCCTAACCCTTGCGAATCGACTTAGCGAGAATTCTAACTTTGCGGTGGTCGTTCTTGAAGCTGGAAAGGCCCATATCGATGACCTTCGCATTCGTGAGCTCATTTGCAGCGTATAACGGTTGCTAATGATGTGATCATTGTGCTCAGTGAGTCCTAACGGTTGGCTGCAACAATTCATGCAACCCGAATATGACTGGAAATTTCCTACTGTCCCTCAAGCTCATGCCGCAAACTCGGCGCTTGTTTGGAATCGGTGAGCACGCGAGCGTCATTTGCAATATCATGCGTCTAAAATATTATCTAGCGGCAAGGGTCTTGGCGGTAGTTCTTCACTGAATGCGATGCTGTGGACTAGGCCGCAGCGCGAGGACATTGACGGTCGGTTGCATTCAGTCCCATCGTACGGGACTCACTAAAAATATCTCTAGCCATCGAGCGACTCGGCAATCTCGGTTGGAACTGGGACCACTTCTACGAATACTCCAAGAAGAGCGAGAAGTTAGCCTTTGTTTTGACACCTAGGTTACAGCTGACCCAAGTGGCATAGGTTTGTACCAATAGTGGCCACTTCTACTGAACACAAAGATTTGATTGGGAAGAAGTCTGTGGGATCGAGTGGTCAGTATGTTCGTTCCCCTTCATCTTCCTTATCTCAGTGTAGAAAACCTCAGGCCCTATTCCAATCTCCTTTGTTCCCACTAGCTCTGGTGCCGAGGCTCCCTACCAGAAGGTACATAAGTTCTCATATAGCAACAGTCATTTAAGATCCTGACGCATACTGCAGAGTCTTGCAAAGCATGGTGTCCAAGTTTCTCATGATTTTGTAAGTTTCCCGTCCCCGTCAACATACCAAGCTGTTTCATGACTTGGTCGCATCGGCTATGGCACTCGTTATAGTTGAGCGGAGAGGCAAGCACATTGCTATCGAGCGTATAACCAGCCTGACAAGACAATAGACTACGGGAACATGGAAATCTGTATCCATTATAGATCCCGAGACGGGAAATAGGAGCTATGCTACCAATGTGAGTTAGACAATCATTAGCTCCCTTGACACGCTACTTATAGCATGCACACATGTAGGCATACCTGCTCCCTGTCATCGATCGCCCGAACCTGAAAGTACTCACTGAAGCCTACGTCACTAAGATCATTACCTCAAGGGATGGTGGCGAAATGATTGCCAACGGGGTTGAGTTTGAATGCAATGGATGCACCTATACAGTGTATGCGGGTAAAGAAGTCATCTTGTCTGCTGGGTAGGTTTTCCATATTGTCGCGCAGATCGTTCGATGATCGTATCTACAGTGCCGTTAAAACGCCGACCATCCTTGAATTGAGCGGTATCGGTGACCGTGCTATCCTCGAGCCCCTTGGCATAGTCGTCCAGAAAGATCTTCCCGCCGTTGGCGCGAACGTCAGAGACAAGCTTTTTACCAAGATTGTATTAGGTATATTGACTAGACATTCTCTCAATCGTGATGACTGAAACATGTTCAGAAATGCAAGACGGCATCGTGAGCAGCAACCTCCTCGAGGATCCAAACTTTCAAGAGAAGTTGCGCAGTTCCCAGTAGGCTTTCAGTTTCACCTCGTTGCTCATAGTCACTTACAATTGCTCATAAAGCCCCAACTTGACGGGGCCATTTGCCTTGGCGATGACTGGTGTCACCTTCCTTCCTGTCCAGGCATTCTCGGAAAACGCGAATGCCATAATTGAACGATGCGCTGAGAAGCATTCTGCCTATACCTCAGCGTACCCTCCTGGTGTGAAGGAGCAACTTGATATACAGCTCGATCTCCTCAAAAATGTAACGGTTCCGGATACTGAACTACTTGTTATGCCATTCTCCTTTGCACCACCCAGTACGTTTCGCTCGTTGTCCGTGGTAATTATATCTGACATCGCTCTCAGTCCAGGGAAGGCCGTACGTTATTCTTGCTGTATGCATCGTTCACCCTTTCTCCAGAGGCAGCATTGTCAGTGCCCATGATTATTTCTCGATGACCAGTAATTTATTTGCATCCATCAGCATATCCAATCCGCGGACCCCAAGGCCGCCCCACTTATCGACCCGCACTACTTTGAAGACAATGTAGACTTGGAAATCTTAGTCGAAGCAACGAAATTCGCGCGCAAGGTTGCACAGACAGAACCTTTCAAGAGCATAACCGTACAGGAAGTTGTCCCGGGGCCTGGCGTAATCACCGACGAGCAGCTACGTGGTAGGAATAGTTGTTACCGTCGAAGGGCTCTCAACGACGCTGATGTCTACTTACTAGATACGGTGAAGAAGAATCTGTCTACAATCTGGCGTGAGTCCGAAGCCTGTCTGATTCGTCCTTGAATCATTGATTGGCGTGACAGACACTGTGGGTAGTGCGTCCATGCTGCCTGAGGACAAAGGCGGGGTGGTGGATGCTACACTCAAGGTAGGGGAAATGACTTCATACTTTTTGCTACTTATATCGATCAACAATTGCAGGTATATGGCACGAAGAACATACGTATCGTGGACCTTTCCGTGGTACCGCTCCCAATTGCTTCTCATACTCAAAGTAAGTCAGAATGTTGACATTCTCTCAGGTGATACTGAACACATCGCAGCGGTAGCCTATGCGATTGCTGAACAAGGTTGGTACACTTGTTTGCATATGATGGTCATTCCGCTTACTACGATTTGCATAGCTGCTGATATTATCAAGGCGATCCACAGTATCTAGGTCGACTACACCGACTGCATGAAATGTACGTAGCTTTCTTCTGAGGCAAGAATCTGCATGAGGGTGCCTCCCATATATTTGCCTGTTTGTTCTCGCACCGTTGCTCGGAGTATTTCTGTGTTTGATTCTGCCCGAACGTGGATGACAGTAGCTCGTTATGAAGAAGCTGACATACTTAGTCCCATCCGTACCACATTGTACTATGTGAGATTGAGCTGTCCCACGGCGATGGCGATGAATTCAATTGTCATTTTGACCAATTTCGCCCACCATTAAACATACACGGATATGTGCATATTATCCGATGCAACTTTTGCTGATGCATTGTGGCGCACCGGATTTGGACTGGGGGCAACTCTGGCACCTACTGCTCACGTCCGAAGTGCAATGCTGTAACAATGGCTTCTCACCGTGGTGGAGGTGTCGACTTACCGAGCGAGCATCTCTGTACCTCTGTCCTATAGATATCGGAGGAGGCGATAAAACCATGACAGCAAAACACTAAGGATAATGCGGAAAGACAGCTCGACGAAGAGAAGCGAGAGCAGATGACGTGGCAAGACAATAACGAACAGCGATGGAGAACGGGAAGAGATCCGAAGACGGTCACGAGCACTTGAAATCCTGACGAGCAACGACTTCCAGCCCAGCGGGCGGGAATTGGGCGGGAACATCATGGAAGAGGCCAGTGAGAGGAATGGTCACGAGCTCAAGCCGGTGGTACCACATTGATGAACCAGGGCCAGTCGAGGCGGAAGAACGGCGTCCAAACAGGCGAGAGCAGAAGCTCGAGGGCACGGGGCGAGAAACGAGAGGCAGGGACATCGAAGAAGAATGGTCCTGAGAATGTCTG